CCCTCCTCCTCCACCTCCTCTCCTCCACCTCCTCTCCTCCTCCTCCACCTCTCCTCCTCCACCTTCTCCACCATCCTCCTCCACCACCTTCTCCCCCTCCCCCTCCTCCACCACCTTCTCCCCCTCCACCTCCTCTCCTCCACCTCCTCTCCTCCTCCACCTTCTCCCCCTCCACCACCTTCTCCCACCTTCTCCCCTCCTCCTCCTCCTCCTCCTCCACCACCTTCTTCCCTCTTCCTCGACCTCCTCCCTGTATCACTTATTCAACAATGAATAATAAACAACAAGTGAGTAAATGTCCGGGAGGTGATTGTCAGGGGGTAAATGTCCGGGGTGTAATTGTCCGGGGGATAAATGTCCGGGGGGTAATTGTCTGGGGGGTAAATGTCCGGAGGGTAAATAGCATGGGTGGTAATTGTCCGGGGGGGGGGGTAATTGTCCAGAGGGTATTTGTCCTAGAACCATATATATATATCTATATATAAAATAACATGCAAACACCCATGTAGATGAAAAAAAAAAAAAAAAATAGGTAAACGGTGTTTTACATTTTAATTTGTGAGCTTTCGAGAAGTGTAGGCCCTATCTCTTCGTCAGGCTTTAAACTGACATTAGAATGGAACCGTTTAACATCAAACAAAATTACAATGCATTACAATGAAAATGAGACAGGAAAAAAGGCAAGAAGCAAGAAGAAAAGCTAGCTTTGTTTCTATTTCTTCATACAACTATGTGTTTACAAGTTTGAAAATGTATTTCGGACTGAAACCAACCCACCTAGGCACCCATTCTACATGCCATGTATGGAGTGTGGGGTCGGTTTTCCTATGTCATCACATAACGTACGGAATGATGCTCGAAGGCGTCGTGTATAATATAGCCTTGTAATACCTCTCCCTCGTACATCCTCCTTTTACCCAAGCCATTCCTTCCCTCTCTCATCTCCTCCTCTCCTCTCTATGCCATCTCCCCCCTGTCTGCTATTGCATCTTGTATTTATACCCTGGGCGAGGCTTTGCCGTGGCCATGTGTCCTGGTGACGTCCGTGTGGCACGTTGACAGAGGTCCACGTGGCACGGTTGCCCTTTCAGCTTGCTCGGTGAGGCAGCCCTGGATCTCCATTAACCCCTGTCGCATGCGTCCTATATTTCTGTTGGATGCTATGTGGGTGGATATTAATCAGGTGCCCCTATTACCACACACGACTATTGGTATTATACCCGCAGGGTCTTCGCGTTATGGCTTTCAGCATGACTCACTTTGTCGCCTATTAACTGTTGCTGGCATTATTTCACGTCGCTACAGGAGATAATCGGCTTGAGAGTTCAGGAGATGACCCGGAACCCAGGCACAGACAATGTGCTTATAGTTTATAATTATAAACGTATATACACAGAGCAATTATTACTTACACTATATACCAGGAAGCAGTGCTATTTTACGACAAAACTACGATTTCAATTGCATGTAACCAATAATTTGATAGTAATATCACATTCAGCAGCATTCTTCCTTTTTAGCTCAGCTTGTAGAATCGCATGAATGTTCGTCCGTGCGTCCGGCCGTGTGTCAACAATTAAGGCACAAATCTTAATCGCTCGACTTACGGTCTTAATGTTCGGGACATTGGGGGGGGGGTTGCGAAAAGGACTCGGGATGTCGAATTTGGGGGTCAAAGGTCAAGATATGTCAATGGAGGGGGAAATTTCCCCCTTAACTTAAGGTATAGGAGGAAATACGGAATTGCGGCAGAAATCTCAACGGCTTGACCTACGCTCTTAATATTCGATGTATAGTGTGATGGGGAGGAAACCCATCACCAGCACGAAATTGGAGGTCACAGGTCAAAGGGCAGTGGGGGAAAGGTCAGATATCAGACATTTTCTGAGGACATGGTTTAATGGACCAAGTGCAAAACTTTTTTGTTTCAGCGCTGACCTACCATTTTTATCACTTTATTGAGAGGTCCATGAAATGTACTTTCCGCTGACGTGCGAAGAGTAAGTGTCTGATAACCTTTTGACTCTCAAGAGGAGGGTTAAACATGGATTTGTTGACTGTTAACAAAGGACTGAACTGCTTTTGCTATCCCCCCTCCACCCGCCCCCTCTCCCCACTGACCCCCGCCCCACCCTCCAACCCACCATCCCCCACTACCACCATTACTCTCGCGCTCGCCGCATATCCATGATAACATGTTAATATAGCGAAGTCATTAAAGTTACACAACTGTATCTTTATTACTGTACTACCGGGCATAGCAAAGCCTATCATAGAATTTAGATCTGTACTAGTAGTATCCTAGATATATGCTCTGAGCGCGAACGC